ACAATATACATTCAACAATCCAAATAGAAGTAGCCAGCAAAATAGAACAAAAACAAAACCAAAACAAACAAGAGAGAAAGAGTAACTGTAAGGGAAGTTACACGTCGTTGGCGGTGCCGGCGACTTTCTCATCGACCTTGCGGCCTTGCCCGTCGTCACCCGTGGAGTGACCGCGTCGGTAGCACCGTAGTAGCAGTTGGTTCGGCCTTCGATTTCGAATGGAAATCATGGAATCAATCAGTCAATGGAATTAGGAATTTAGGGAGGGTAGGGTTTGCGGTTTCAACTTTAGTTCACAATTTGGAATCTGATTGGAGAGAGTTAGATTTGGATTGTTGATTTAGGGGAAATACATATGAAATACAATGGATTATGGACCATGATTCATTCATTGATTTGGGCGGGCCAGGCTCAGGAGCCTAATGTTTTTAAACGAAAAAGAGGTCCATGTAAGTTTCATCACTTATCAACTCAACAAAAAAAATACATTAGCCTGGCCGGTCAGTCATCATCTCTTTCCCAGTTTCCCTCCTTTGCAACTGCAAGTTAGCAACTGAAAACCTGGCGGTCCTGATTCCTGAAGTCATTCCGACGAATCTAGCACGGGTGGCCGTAGGGGTTGGCCAGGTGCCGGATCCGCCCCTGGTTCAGAAGAGTACATTATGGTTTTCATTTTTCTTTAAAAGCTAGGATTAGTGTTAGTTTTTATTTTGTTGTTAATTGAATAATATTATAAAATCTGGAGATTTTACGGAACCAATTAATAACACATTGATTAAAAAGTAAGGGCATGTTTGGTAGAAATTAAAATCATATTAAAATTAAAAAATTAGTCGTTATTGTTCATTTTTATTAGACGAGTGAGATCCAATAACGACTATATTTTCAATTTTAATTGAATTTTAATCACTCTCAAACATGCTCTAATTGTCATGACCCAATTTTACTTATTATTTTTAAATATTTATTTACTTATTTTCTAAGGGGGGCTCAATGCCTCAATTTGACTATAAGTGACTGACAAACAGTTCTTAGAACTGAGGTAGCTGCTCGCTTGGAACTCTCGTGACCTTTTTTCATTGTTTATTTGAGAAAATAAAAGTGAAGGCACGCCGGCATGTACGGGG